TTCTTCAAGTAAACTTTCATCACTATGATTTTCTAATTGGTTTTCTTGACTTGCTTCATCTCTCCAATGAGCAACAATTATATTCCATTGATTCACATTTTCATCAGAATTAGAATTCACTGATTCATTGTTATTCTCCAAAAAATCATCATCATTTGTTTCATGGTTTTCATTTACAAATAAATCCTCTCCATCAATAGTTTGTACATCATCATTATCATTTTCATCAAAATGATCAAGGATAGTTGGTTTTGGAATATGAAATTGCTTTATTATATCAGTTTGATCATCTTTCTTAATTTGACGTTGGTACAAAATGTTACTACGAATCTGACTCATTGCCAGGACTTTATTATGCTATAAAATAAAATTTAATTAAAACAACTTTTTTATATACTAAATTCATTAAATAAAATACATACTGATAATTGGTTTCTCCTATTAGTATGAAAATATCCCATTGAGGACCATAATCGTTCTACTGAGGCTGAATTTACACAAACAGCGTGAATACGAATAGCCACTTTTGCTAATTCAGGCCCAACTCCAATTGTTGACTCCCAAAAATTCAAAACATTTCCTTTAAATTGCAAAAAAGAATCATAATCATATGGATCATTCCCTCTTCTATAATCAATCAATTCTGCTAAAATACTAGTTGCTGGTTTTCCACAAAAGGCATGATAATAATACTTCAACCACTGACCAACATGTGTCCATGATAAATTGTTTATAGTTGGTCTAAATTTTGATAATTTATAAGAAGGATGAAGAATAATGGAAAGCAACAAAATTGGTTGCTCCCAACCCTTCCACCTCTTTTCAATTCTAGAAACCATTTTTTCAGAAAAGTCCAAATCATGATGCATAGAAAAAATGTGTAATGTATATGCAAAGCAATGGACCACTTCATAAAGTCTTGCAGCATCCTTTTGTAATTGATTGAGAAAACAACACAAAGGATATAATAGATTTTGTAATGAAAATAGCTTTGACCAAAATACTGGATCATTAATACTATCTACAATATCATCAGGTAGCCGACGTTTGTTATTTCTAGTTGTTCTTCTGTCCACTGGAGTGTCACTAGGTAAAGCCAATTTTATTGATTTTTTATAAATCCTTATTTGCTCATCTCGAAGATTACCCATAAAATAACCAGATTTATGGAAAAAACTAACAATCCGAACTGCCTCTTCAGATATTCTTTCAAAAATAGGACTTTCTTTAAATATTTCAGCAAATACCAAATTCATCTGGTGAGCCATGCAAGGAAGAAATATTTTATCAGGATATTTTCTTCGTAAAATTTTTCTAATTTAAATTTAAATTGTAAAAATTAATGTAATATATGTAAAATTTGAATCAATAGTTATTTTAATCACACACCTGGCTGCAACATACTCCCCAGCAGAATCAGATATAAATGCTGTAACATTTATGTTTTTATCATTAAGTTCATTCATCAAGTTTTCAAAATGATGTATGACATCTTGTGTTTGTGATCTTTCAGAAGTAGTTTCTTGAGCACCCCAGATTAATGGTTTCCCATTTGATGTAACCAGTACTACTCCCCATAGCTTCTCTTGTTTTACATTTGACCAACCATCAACAGCAACAGTTACTCCATTTTCATCTGATTGAGCAATTTTAATGATTGATTCTTGTAGATTTTTAGATGTGTTTAGCAAAATTTGTTCACCAAGTTTTTTACGTGTTGGAAGTTCAATGCCAGGTGCCAAAAAATTAAAAAATGCTTTGGTATCCTCATTTTCTATAAATGAAAAAGGTAAACCATTGGACACACACATCCTAAGAATCAAGTTTTCTAAATAAGGGATATCTTTCTGAGACATTGGTCTTCGAAGGTAACCAGAAATCAATGGTTGTTTTTGAATAATTGATGATGCTGTTGAAGTATCATTTGTAATATTTTTTTGACGTTTAGGTTTGTTCTGTTCAACTTTATTATTTATTGAAATTATATTATCATTTATTAAAATTATATTAATTATCATTTATTAAAAATAAATATTATATTATCATTTATTAAAATTATATTATCATTTATTAAAATTATATTAACATTTATTAAAAATAAATATTATATTATCATTAAATCATATTATTATGCCTTCTTCTATTTTAATAATATATTAATTAATCATTACCTGCATCATTATTATTATTTTTCAATTTTCTTTTCTCTTCTGCTACTGGGCGTGATAAGATTTCAGATATTTCATCATTATTGAATGCATTTTTAAAATTAATGCAATTTGATAAATGAGAATGACAAAGAATTGCTTTATTTGTTGTATAACATCCAGGTATTAAAGCTGCAGCTTGAGCACCACCATTTTTTTCACTACAATACTTGCATACTGCTCTTGCATTAGTTTTATTATTAGGATTATTTATTAAAATAAAAAATTCTCTGTAACAATGTGGATTAAGCATTCTTTGTTAAGTATTTAATTTTTTTTTACTTGCTTCAGGTAAAGTGGTGTTTTTTTTACGAGAAGTTTTGGCATTAATTGAACATCTTTATAAAAATATTTAAAGTAAAGGTATTTTATATTGGGAAACGTTCTGTTAATTGATTGGCTAATTTATGACAAATGACAAATGACTGATGATCATAGTATATGACCATTGGTCATAATAGTCATATGACCAGGTCATTTACAACAAATGACAAATGACCGATGACTGCATGTCATATGACTAAATGACTTGGTCATTTGTCATAAAGGGTATATGACCTTGTCATATGCCAACACTGTATAAAAAAGTAATTTTTGCCCAAAGTGTTTTGGCAATTTCGGCTACTAATAAAGAGAGTTTTGGCCAGAAACCTTATTTTAGACCAAGTCAGAAGGAATGTTCTTAATAATTTAAAAATTAATATTGTAATATTATTGCTAATAAAATATATAACATTTACTTTAAATAATCCTACCTGTAAATTAATAAATAATCCATTTGGGTACATAATATATTGACAGAGGGAAACCTTTGATCTAAGCAGGAACCTAACACTTTAATTATTCAGACATACCTCAGGGGGCGCCTTTGAGATATACCAGTTAAGCTGATTAAAAGGGAACTTTAGTCCAGATTTAGGGTTGTACAATAAAAGAAGTTTTGGTTGTAAAACAGAGGTTCTAGGAAAACCAGACATGTGCCATAGGAAGGCTATCTAGACTTAGGATTGTAAGTTAGCAAAATCAACTGTAAAACAGAAGTTCTAGGAAATCCAGACATGTGTTGATACCAAAACTTGACCAATAAGCAAGTAAATTGGATTGCATGCTTTCAATACAAATTTATAGCTCCCTGCATATTTTAATTGGTGATAACAATTATTTTTGTATTTGTGTGGATCAGGATGAATAGGTTATCAATGAATTGATTTTGGTATTAGTGAATAATTTTTGTTTAAAGAAGATAAAAGTTTAAATAAATTATTCATTTTATTTATTTAGTTTTTTTTTAGTCAAAACTAATTTACTTATCAGAAGTTTTCATTAGTTGAAAATAATTAACTTGTGAGAATGTTACTTTTACAATAGGTCGAAATTGAGTTCTTTATATACATATTCATTTATATATGAGCCCACATTGGACGATTTTGCCCAGGTTGGATGATTTTGCCCACCCTGGGACCATCATCATTAATCTCTACTAAATAAAGTTGAACATGCTACAAATTAAATAATAATTAATTAAATATATGGAATTTTACATGAATATGAATGATAATAAATAATTATACAAGTTATTAAAACAGTGAAATGTCAGGGTCCTTAACAATGTTTATATTAATGATAACAATCATGGTAATGATATTAATAAAATTCTATCAACACTTCTTCTATTACAATAAATAAAAGCATAAATCAATTAATTCCTACAAATGATATGGTGCGAATCATCTAAAGACATCACGTGCTGCGCCACTTGCCGAAAAATTTTATTACATTTTTGAACAAATTACAAAATTGCTATTTTGAAATTTGGCCGCATGGCGCAGCAATAGGAAGTCTTTAGACGAGCCAACCATAATAAAATAATTCTAAAATGATCAAGTTTTTAATAAATAATTACATCCTTTTGATTTAGCTTCAACAACCTTTGAGGCCATAAACAATCAAGCTACAAGTTAAGGATAGTGTAGGTAACATGAAAGTTGCTATGATACAGTAGATAATTTTTGACTGCGAATCATTAAAAATATTAGTGTAGTCATGCATGATAACATTATTATTATATACAGTAATACATAGAAAAAATCATTTTTATTTTATTTGTAAAAGAATGAC